TTTTTTCCCTAAGCAAACACTAACTCAACAATCTATAAAACCTCCCACATGCACAAGTATATTTTAACTCCTTTCAGTTTAGATAGATAGTATAATCACAGAATCACAGAATATTAGGGATTGGAAGGGACCTCAAAAGATCATCTATAATATTACAAATTTTCTAATTTCATTTGCTTTTAACAACTATTTCACTACTATTTAATGACAAGAACTCTTGTCATTAAATCCAAGGTGACTGGCTTGCGAGCTATTTTCTGTAAATGCCAACTGCTCTGATAAATGACTTTTTAACTTCCCAGCATTTGAAGTGCACTCACTCATTATTAGCTCTGCAAACTCTCTGGTAATGTCAGGGCCTCTTTTAACAGCTGAGTTACAATATATCAATCGTGGCTGCCCCAATTATTGCACGGGATTAGTTAGCAGGCTCATGAAATGAGTTGCAGCGTAATGCAACTGTTGCTTGTGTCAACGTGATAGCAACCCTATAGAATCACTGTAACAGGACATTTTGGTTAAAATTTTAGTTCGCTACTTTATAGGTTGTGGCATGGCCTTCCATGATGTTCCTGTTGTGATCCAACAAAACTCTAGGCTGGTGACATGTAGGCTTATTATAGAATTACTTTGTTTAGCTAGAATGGTCATGGATTTGGAAGATATTTTTCCTCCAGTCAAAAAATACTGATAAATCACCAAGAACTTGACCTTCCAGCAGAGTTGAGCAGTTGATGAGAATTAGGAAAAGTTAGTCCTTTCACTAATCCAACTTTATGTGTAAGTTTTCAAGACCATTCTGAAACTGAAATGGACAATTTATTCTAAAGATTTTTCAATGAAGATATCTAAGTTTATTTTAAGAACTATTTTCTGCAGGTAGCTAAGACAAAACTCTGATCTCTACTTAACATTTTTTATTTATTAGCAAATATTTTTATACTTGTATATACAGTGAGTGTCCATGTACACATTTTATACCTCTGCATAATCACAAGTTAATTGAGTCATATAAATTCTAACTCAGTTTCATTGGATGAATATGAATACTGCACTGGTTATTTAATCACTGCTCTCCAAGAGGGAGGGGTGAAGGAGGAAAAGTGTGTACTGTCACACAGGATTTTCTGAGTTGCATATAGAGGTATAAATAACTTCTCAAGGTACACCCAGGCTGATCACTGAAGACAAGCTGGAAAATAGATTGCTGAAATGTGAGTGTTGAAACAGGTAATGAAAAAATTAGTAACAAAGAGAAACACTGAAAACACATCGATGGTGATTTGAAGTCCACATTTTTGTGCTCCAAAAGCAGCATCCTAAGTAGAGGAAGGGTATCAGTTTCCAAAGCTGCTGAATCAGTATTATGATGTTCTGGTCTGCTCAGGAAGTATTGGTTCTGGTCCAGTCAGGAATGGCAGCAGGATGCAAGGAACCTGCTTTATTACTAATTCAATTTTTTTTTTTTTTTCCTGTGCTTAAATACTGTTCTTGAATTCTATGAAAAAAGCCATGTTGATAGTATGAAAATTAATCTGTTTTAAAAAGAGGAAGAAATTGCACAGTAGAGGCTGATAACAGAATCAGAGGCTGCTAACAGCATCTGATCCAAATATATCTTAATGAGCTGAGCAGATTCTGTGCTTGTCACATTTGACCTGTGGCTTTTTGCACTTTACCATAAGAGGAGTAACACAATATATTCTTGAAGAACTTTTATGTGAAATGTGGATATTTTGCTTCTGCAAATCCTTCTGAAGATCAAGCTGAACATGCATATTCTAACTTGACCAGAAATAAACGTTGTCACAAGAGCAATATTGAGATTTGCAGGAAGATTTTTCCTGTGGGCGGATTATCCTTTAGTTGCCTACTGCAGTGTTTTTTCATCTTCCCTGGAAAACAACACATACTTGATTACCAGGAACAACAGGATTCTTCATTAGGTAGTTCTAAGGTCTTTTCTTGGAGTGCACCTTCTGTGTCATCTTAAAATAATGCTCTGACTTGTCAGTCATGTCTAGGAATTAGATGCTCTAGATAAATATGCATTTTATTGTGTGCTACATCCAAGTAGGTGATAAAAACATGTTTAAATGTGTTATCTAATATTTGTTATTACTATTAATCTTTAGAGACTTATTAAATAATTCTGATTTACATAGAATCATAGAATGGTTTGGGTTGGAAGGGACCTTAAAGATCATCCAGCTCCAACCCCCCTGCCATCAGCAGGGACACCTTCCACTAGATCAGGTTGCTCAAAGCTTCATCCAACCTGGCCTTAAACACTTCCAGGGAGGGGGCATCCACAACTTCCCTGGGCAACCTGGGCCAGTGTCTAATTAGCTTGTATTCTGCAGAAAAAAAATTCAAGACTTAAATTTGGAGGCAGGAGTGTATGAGCATAAACAGGGTGTGTGGCACCTTTTCTACATTCCATTTTGATAAACTATTGCAGTTTTCGTAAGAGAATATGTTCTATGTAAATCCATCTGAGTCATCAGTGTTTAATTGTTTTAATGAGCCATTTCCTTTTTTTATAATCAATTGGGTAAATATAAGAAGGAAAAATACAAATAGTGCATTGCAGTATTTGTAACTCATTTGGTATGTTCCTTTAAATGAAATTTCAGTGTTGTATGCAGGGTAGAAATATTTCTTTGATGATTTGTTAATAATACTTTCCTTTTTCCCAGCTGGATTCTGTCCTGCAGTGATATTAACAGCTGCAAGATGTTTCAGTGCAGAGTGTATTGGAGAATAGAAACAGAGACACTATTAGAAAGTTTCAGAATAAAGGTTCATGATGGAATAATGGCAACTTATTCTTAGTATGTTGTCAAATTGACATCAGCTCCTCTTTTTCTCTTAAAATAAGTCTGTGGTTTTTTGATCTCACAATTTGTCTTTAGTTTCCGCATTCACACATTTAAATCTTAGGCCATTAATGTGAGTGTGTAGTGTTCAAGCTGCTTGTATCAACTATGACTTCTGAATGAATATATTTAGAAAGACTTTTAAAATTACGCGTAGCAATGTAACAGGCAAAAGCATGGAAGTTAGTCATGAAGGTCAGACAAACCAGAACTGCAGTTGTGTCTTAGCATGTTGTAAGAGCAAAAAATATATTTTACGTGGTGGCTGTGGAATTTGCTTTCTTTTTTAGCAGATTTATTACAACAGGAAAATAACATAGCAGTATGCAAGCAACTGTTATATCCTACTCATTCTGCTTACTGGTGCTGAAGATCTTTTGTTTTCTTTCAGATGCAGTTTCCACATCTACTTATTCATCACCAGCCAAAAGTTTGGGAGACCCTGGAATAACTCCACTGTCTCCGTCACATATTGTGGTAAGAAATGTACTCTTAACATACTATGTGTTGGCATTACTTTCTCCTGCATGTTTGATGGGATGTAACTTCTTTAGTAAGTCATCATTTCCTGACATAGCGATCCCTTTATGCTATCCATGGTCTTAACTGAAATTTTGGTCACAATGGAGTTGGTGATAGAGCTCTCATTCATTTCATTGAGGTCCTGGTTTTACTCTTTTTTTTTTGTCTACTTGCTGAGCTGATAGATTTGCTCCTGTATATTTTTATATCAAACACAGGGACTTCTTAATCCTCAGGGTTCCCAAGTTCTGTCCCTGACTTTATCACTGGTTTGTTTAGGCAGCCCCTGAAAAGTCTCAATTCTGTTCAGAAAGAAAAGAAGGATATATATGATATTCAGCAATAAAATCTCAATTATCAGAGAAAAAAAAAACTTCCTCCAACATAGAGAGAGAGAAGCTCAAAATAGAAATAGAAATATTTTAGTTTCTTGAGGAAAATAAACACCTCTGTAAGCTTTTAGAAGCAAGCAAATATCCCATAAAGGTAGTGTGTTTTAATCTCTTATACAACATGTTGGTTTGGTTGAGAACCTCCCATTAAAACTAAGTCACATTTGTTTTTAAGGTCATCTGTAACACAGTATACACGCAGTGTATTTCTTGATATTGCAAGGGATCGTGTTCAGAACACATTGTTACCCTTATCAGATTTCTTCCTTAGCTTTCCCAATCAAGTTCAGAGTTGTATGACATCCCTCTTCAGGATTTCCAGAGTTCTCTCTCATAAATTTTTGCTTTTATTATCTTCTTTCTCCATATAGTCTAGAACGCCTTGCTTTTACTTCTCTCATACTGACAAATTTATATCCTCTTTCGGTTAGATTTGCTCCTTAATTTGCTCTTTGCAGAAGACATATAAATAACATATTGCTCTAGTTGAAAAGATTTATTAGGAAAATCCAAACGAGTTGTTTGTTATTTGGAACCAAACCTTATCACTCTTGTTTGTCACTTTTAAGTAGCAGGCCTATGGGGTGATCTTGGAACATGTAAGGGTAGAAAGGGTACAAACTACCTCCATGCCTGGAAGTAGCAAGCGTGGAGATAACGGAGGTACATGAGGAAGATGGTGGAACACTGCTCACAGAGTGAGGACCTTTGATGATTCCTCTGTAAAAGACAATAACAATTGCTTCCAAATGTGATTGGGGATACAGGCTGAGCAGCAGTGGTGGAGGATTCAGACATGACCTGTGTAATAATAGGTCAACAGGTCTGTTCCATGGTGATTTTGACCAAATGATGTTCATGCAGGCAGGTGTTCCCCTCCTTCCCTGTCTGCCTGCCTGTAGCACATAGTCCTTTCACCAGCGTGTCCAGCTCGTTCTCTTCCTGTCTTGCTCAGCTGTTAGTGCTTTAGCCACCATCAGCACGTGAACAGTCGTTCCTTGCTGTTCATTATTTAGTACTTCTTTACATAGGATTTACGATAGCCAACAGCATACTGGGGAGTGGTACAATTCCTTCTTTATCCATGCTGTGCTTTATATCACATCATTATGATTTGGGCTGTAGCACATCTCTTCTAGTTAATGTTCCCATGTTGCCCTTGACTGTGCTTTTCAGGGGTTGCAGGACTATGGGTAGAAGGCAGGGAGAAGGACTGAATTTAGCTATAAGCAGCTGAAAGAGCTTTCCATGTTCTAGCACAGGCAGGAGGAAAGAG